AAATTCCATGTGAAAATCAGAGGCCTCCAAGGGTGTCGTTGGCTGCTCTGACAGTATATTGGACCCCCAATGTCCCTAAATCACCCAGGAGTCCCATCTGGGTCAAGCACGTCGTCGCGTAAAATTCCAAGCACAAGCTCTCCCTCCTCGCGAGCGATCTCACCATCTCCCCTCGAATGGTTTAGGGCTCAGATGGCGACAATGCACTTGGTACTTCTTGACACACCCCTGAATCCGCCTCAGAAGTCACGTAGGAGCGGTGAGCAGTTTGGAGGGTACGAAAAGGAAACTATTAGCCATAGCCCTCTCCTATTGAACAGGAACACACGAGGTTGTTAAAAAGAGCTTTATCGGCTAAAGCTTCGGCGGGTTCGCCTTCGTCAGAGCCCGCAAAAAGTCTACCCAATTTAGCAGAACCCGTTCGAAGTCGCTACAAAAGTTCTAAACCAAACAAAATATTAGGGTCGTATTAGTATTATTACTATTAGTATAGTATTAGTATTCGTGAGTGATAAAAAGATATTTCAAAACTCAAATTGCGACTCTTCCCAAAGCTCCGAAACGATTTCTCCCTCTGAAAAGTACAAGGTTAATTCTCCCCTGATACTCTAATTTTTTCTGATAACAAGTACAACTCGTCACTTCGCGTCCTGTGCACTTGATCATGGTCCTATGCGTTTCGATATTGCCTTCTCGGGCCGGATGCAGCAAGGCCTGGGTGGGGTTGAATCACCAAAACATTGCATCTCATCTCTCGAACGCATCCCCACATTCTCGAGCATGTGGACTGCGTCATGGACCGGAGCAGAGAAGCAGTTCTTGGCGACCCATCCCCGGCCGGGCCTTGCGCACCCTGCCCCCGGGTAAGTTTCGATATCTGGAAACGTAACCTTTACTTCGGCGGATCCACACAACTCTTTTCATAAGCCAAATTTCAAACGAAGAGCATTTACGCGACTTTATTGAATGAGGGAGATACCGTATCCGTGGGATTTGCCAGCGCAATCCATTGCGGACTTTTCATCTTACAGTAGTTTTTCTTTTTTGACTGTGTTGATAAGGGAAGGTATCACCTTCCTTAAAATTCTCCCCTTTTTTGATACAAAAGACTTGTGAGATAATTATTAGAGGGAAACATTTTCCTTTGTTTCAACCTCTAATAATAAAATAAATAAATAAGTAATTATAAAGTAATAAACAAATAGTGATGTAAAATAATAATGTAATAAACAAGTGGTAGTAATACAGTAAATTAAATTCAATAGATAGATCAATAAAATACCACAAAACCTTACTGCTGATGTCAAAAATTGGTGTATCTTCGCGCAAAATCGTTGCACGCGGTAGTCGAATTGGTTCCAGCCGTATTGAGTCGGGGAATGACATATTCCTAAAAATTGTGCACTATAAAAAATTATGGTACCTTGAGTAAAAGAGATTAGGCAGCGTTTAAGCCGTGACACATTCGTAGGAGCACAAAAACAATGTACCTCGGGAAAACAGCGCCGCCGTTGACCGCCGGCCGCTCCAAGCCCATTGCATCCGATCTTCTCTGGAATAATTGATGAATGAGTAGCTGTTCAATGCGTGGGGCTTCCCAAGAAGCTCGAATGAGCCGAATTCTCCTACAGTTCACGATCTTTGTTTCTAGTCCCGTTTTCGGGGGTATTTAATGAATAAAACTTGCCCAGAGTGCTTAAGATTCGGGTTCGATTCCAGCTGAGAACGAAGCGCCGTACTCTTGAGATTATAAGTGAGCTTTGAACCCTAGGGGATTTATTTGCTTCTGTTCATTGCCGCACCTGTGGCAGTATTCAGAACCGAAAGCTGCCTAAGAAAGTGGATTTCTTTTTCCACAGCAGATTTCGTAACAGTTCCTGTACTCTCAGAACTTCACTGGCAAAATCTGTAAAAATTGCAAAAACCCTGACAGACGTTAAGGCAGTGGACACGGGAAAGTGGATGCGCATCGAGAAACTATATGGGCTTCTAAATAGGATAAAGCCAGACACGCGAAGAAAGCACCAGTTAAGCGGAGAAAGGTGCGCTAGTTGCTGAGCGATTGAGCTCGTAACCTAAAAACTGCAGCATCATAAAACCGCTCCGCCCACGAACTGCGTTTTTCCGTAGCGCTATAGTGGTCATTCGTTTCTGTTTGTAACATTTCTCACCAAACGTTCGTATCTTGTAAACACGCCGTGTTGTGTATTCCACCTGTGTGCCCTCGCACAAACACGCACTTCTAAGCGGTCAACTCGTCCAAAACCGATGCATGAAATGAGGACCGCCTTTCACTGATTAATCCTCTGTTTTTTTTTCGCACCTGGCATGCCAAATAGCACCAGTACCTCCGTTAAACCCCCTCTATGCTATCTGCTCACTGCATCTCAATATGCTACTGGATAGAACTATGAAAGTGGTTTCTCATTTGCTGTGTCATCCTGCAACACTTTCCATAACTAAGAGCGATGGTGTGTAGCTATTACGGTGGTTATTCGGGAAAAGATGTGCCTGCATTTTCAGCACACAAATGAGGTTTCACCTGAAAGCTCTGCGAAACAAAGAAGATATAGGACCTTGCACACCTTTAATTTCTGCAGGCGACGCTAATGACTGCTTTTTGTCACAAATCGTCACTGTGACGTAACGTCTGCCCAGAATATGCGGCCAGTTCGAGCAAGGCATCAAGTAGCTAAGAGAAGATCCTCTAATTTCCCATTTCCAGAAATTTTGCTCTGTTTGTATCATGCCGGTAGATCTAACTTTTGAGAAGGATTTGATTTGTCATCCTCCCCTCCTTGGCTTCTAACACACGTGTGAACGCTCGAGCTGGAGGAAAATCCGCAAAAGTTAGACGGGGAGTTACTGCGATTTTTACGGAGGCTTACTACGGTTGGGGTACTGGGCTTTACCAGTAGTAAAGGGTTACTACGTTCTGCCTCATCCGCCATCCACGAGAGACCGCTTTCCTAACAATTTCCATTTTGGAGCATCTACATTTTACTTCGTGGAGATACTCTTAGAATTAGGCGGGTGACAATGGGCTCTAACCAAAGCGACCTCATTGAATTCACAAGTCCGGAGCCTTGTGCAACTGAAATGTAAGTTGGTTTGCTCCTAGCTGCAATGGATTATAGTACTGTTCAAAGAAGGGTCCCACGATAAGGACGAAGGTCGAAGAAGTGAAACTCGTCTAGTGGAGAGATAGGCGGACCCCCCAAGCGTGCAGATTGACACGCAATTGCATCGAAGATATCCCGGTGAAGTAGCATGGCCTTACCGCGGCGCTGTTGGCGCTCGATCAGAACGGTACGCCCTCCCCTCCACTCCCTGTCTCATTGTCAGCCTCTAGTCGTTTAGCAGAAAGAGAGCGTTAGTGTAAAAAAGGCAGCGCCGTTGAGAGTCGCATCCGCGAAATCGACAAGCAAGGAAGGGGTCCCATTTTTCTACGATTTTTTAGGCAGTTTCTCGGGGTTTTTTCTTTCCTCGTGCATCAGTGACCATCTCTAACTGGCTTAATCTGCCTTTTCCTGGTAAAATCCATCCCTAAAATCCGATCAAAATGCCTTCTGTTGAGGGGGTTACCTTTTACTTAACGAAGATCAAAAGCAAGGCATAAGGCATTTGACGTGAAGCAACCCCCAGGCATTCCGGGATGCGCCACGCATTTCACTTCCAGTCAGAATCGTGGATAGGAGTGCATTTTGGGCCATTCAGTAGGTTTAAAATTTTACTGACACAGACGTTAGTGACTTTATCTTCTTAGACAGCTCCGGAATCAACCGAAAGACTAACAGCGGAGTGACGGAAGCCTTGCTTGACCTGGTCTAGAATTGAATTCACCACCGGAACGAGCTCGTGGGAAATGAGGGGGGGGGAAGCACGGAAGCTCAGATATTTCGCATTAAAGATTGAGATGTGGGCCTCATAATGATGTCCGAAGCAGCTGTATAAATTTGAGATTTTCAGGGCAAGCTGGCAGGCATTCCTCATGATTACCCTATCTCGGTTTTGAATGCTACTGTGACAGAACCAATCGTACATAGTAAACCTAGAGGGACACATTGAAGGCATGGTTTTTAGAACTAATGGTGTCAAAATCTTAATTAATACCCTGTCATCACCAGATGAAAGTGATGACTACCATCACGCAACTTGGATCGATTCAAGGCGAAACGTACAACTGTTATCGATGGGCGGCTGAGAAGAGCAATTTCGCCCACAGCGATAAGAGAGCACTGAAAATATTTATCAATGGAATGCAAACAGTTCCATCTACAGCACTGAATCATCCGTGACTGAACATTTGTTCATAACGTTTCCAGTTTGAAGTGGAATTGTCAATAGCCCAAAAGGTGCTGTTGATCAACCCATTTTTCCTTTCTAGGATACCCCACGCATTCGCATCCTACCCTAAAGCATGTGAGCATTTGATTTCGAACCGAAATTGCACATATTTTTTCGCTTCAGGACAATGACTCGGGGCAGTCCCAATAGAGTGATTCGTAAGCTTAGATTCAGCCACCTGGATAAAGATGAAGTCGCAAAGTGCGTTTAGTAATGAAGTTTGGAGGGCAGGGTGGAAGTTGATGTAAAAAGAGAAAGACAAGCAAAGGAAAATGTATGATCATAACACCGACAAGCCCCTTTTCTTCAGCAGGGCAGTGCATCTTAGATGGAAAAAATAGGCTCGTTTTATGACTGATTTTCCACGAACCGAATTCCCTGTACTGTCTTTTTCGATCTGATTATCTTGAAGAGCTACAAGCGCTATGTCGTAAACAAGGTTGCGTGTAACAGCGGCCATCATCTTCAAAGGTACCGATTACGGGAAGTACTGGAGGGGTTTCGAGGGGACGTGATGGCGCTCAAAGTCATGTGAATGTCAGGAAAAAAAGGCAGCGGTAATTCGTCGCAGAAAAGTGAAAGTTGATTTTCGCTCAGGACAGGCAGCAGCTAAGCAAGGCGGGCTATGGAGAGAGGTCCGCGAGCGGTTGGTACATACAGCAATCCATGCTCCACAAGTCGCTTTCAAGTATATGCCGGCTAGGCAACGCTACATCCAATCATATCTAACTAGTAAGACGAACTCACTTCTAGGATGGAAGTGAATTTCCGAAGCCATCTTGGCAACCAATGCATATTCGTTCGAAACGTACATACGCTTCCTTAGCATGCCAATAACAGCATTATGTGGGGCGCCTGAACTTCCCACTATGCAACTTCTTCATTATTGTATGTCGTGTCTTTTATTCCCTCAACAGTAATCGGCTGGAGAGCGGAACGACTGCCGACGTGTTATACGATGCGTAACGATCATCGCCCTAACCACGCATTTTGTGCGTGAATGGTGGCATGACCCCTGTAGACATGGTCTTAACACCTTCACTCGCGGCATGACTTCTACTAGTGAACATTATCCCAGGTGTGCCGTGGTGGTATTAAACTGGCAGCGCGGGCAGCGCGCGGGCAAGGCCATAGCGCCATTGCCGCGCACTTTTGAGTCGCGATAGTGTCGCTTCTTCAGTGCTTGGGGGGCCCACCATTAACCTTGGGCAGAACTTTTGCTTGTTGCCTGATCCTGACTTGTGGCTTCAAAACACAAAAATATATAGGTCAACTCATTCAAACATGTCCAGACATCTAGAGAAATGGTGGGAAAAGTAAAAGAGCTAGAGCATTCTACTTGCTTTTGCTTTTAAGCTAGCACACCCAGCTACGGTATACCCTAATTTAGTTCATAGTGCTGCAGGAGGAAACACTTAACACATAAAAGAATTCATAGTGACCCAAATCGAGGTGGAATTTCCAGATGACTGGTGACACGTAAAATTCGCAACTCGAATTCTGTGTGTGCTGGCTCAACTTACGCGTGATACAGTGTTCTCGAAGTGCTACGTTGAAGATATGGTGTGAGAGCTCAAAGAAGGGAGAACGGAAGCGAGTTGTGGTTGAGGACGCGTTCATATTGTCCACCTTGCCCAAGAAGAGCGGGTGGATGAAATGAGGTTTCAAATGGCGCATCACAGATGTTGAACCTTTGCGATGTTTGCCCACGAGACTTGCAGTCTAGCTGCACCTGTTACGCAAATTGTGCCCAAAAATTGGGGATGGTCCACAGAACATGTTTTTGGATATCCCATTTACTCCCAGATGCAGGAGTCCAGAATCGAATTGGTGTCTGTAGCAATGATTTTCTCTGCCGATAACGGCATTTAAGACTATCAAACTGGACCCTGCTCATAAACGAAATTTGTGTGTAATTGTACGCTGAGGCCAAAGTCAGAAGTGTCAACTTTGGATTAACGCGAATGAGGAACTGCCCGAATTGGATCACGAGAAGTCACGTGGGTTCACGTGGATGATTATTATGGCGATGGATTTCTGAGGTGTGCCTCTTAAATGGCTCTGTCGGGAAAAAACCTCCGGCGTTTCTCAAGTTTATGGCTTGTTTCTTAGCGAACAAATTGACAAAGGAATAGCAGTATAAAACTACAATAACGATATCATCACCTATGTCGATACCAGACCCTACATAGCTCATATTGCTCACGGGTATTTCGATCAAACGGATATTGTGGCCTCTTCTTATCAGCCGTATTTTCCTAACTGCAGCCATGCGACCTCAGCTGTTTTATCGAACTGAACGCCCTACTCGTTCGGAAGCGCTACGACAATTCGTTGATCATCTATACTGACATCAAAAGCATCTTGTCTATACTTGTTGAAATGAAGAAGCTGCGCGGTGTCCAGTGTTTTCTAGACGCTGGGATCGGGTCGTTAACAACGACAAGATCTGCTTGACTTCACACCAAAGTATTAGCTTTTTATCTTTCCTGCTGTTCATTTTATTCGAATAAAACCGTGGACATGTTTGAATGAGATGACCTAATAAATAAGATTATAATGCATGACATATTTCGTTCTCAGAAATTAGGCTGTCTTTACAAAGTTCAATAGAACATGGCGAACAGCTTACAGTGATGCCGTAGTCTCTCATCTTGTTCATGAAAAATGCTGTTGTTTACAGTTTGTTGAAGGTATCCTTCACGAGGGCCAAGTGAAGCAACCATTGCGACGCTTTTTGTACCAATGTTTACTCATTGTTTGAATCTATCGCCTCACCTTTACCTCATTCTTTACCTTCAAATGCCCCAGGGTCACAGTGCTGTGGCTCGTGCCCACTAATTCCAATGTATCAGTGCAAAATGGGCCGCCATTAAAGAAAAAGTGAGAAGAATCCGTCGAAAATGCTTCGGTTGAGGGCTCACTCATCTTCGTAATTGGCTCTGCTAAGGGAATGAGAGACTAAGCGCGGAGAGGAGAGTATGAGGCGAGGGAGCGTCACAGATGAGAAGGCGTAGACAAACCGCCTGGTGAGGAGAAAAACCACATGCCTCCGCAGCTTATTTTGCACGGCACAAGCGCTCTTGTTGGTTGGTTTCCGTGCACGAGAATACCACATTTGTGATTGTCCTCTAGGGGTCTATACTACAAGTGAAGAGAAGCGTTCATACGACATCTGCCTTGGGTGCCTAGGTTGTGCCTTTAACTTATTCACGGCTAACACTGTTCCGCCTTACAAGTGCTATTAGGGCCTGGCACATATTGTTATTGATGAGTGAATAGCTTCCAATACAACTTCTTTCCTCTTTGTAGTAATATCTGGGGCTCGCTGATAATGCGAACGCGATCCGCACTGAGCTGCGTCCACCTCTTGTCAATGCACCCAACATTACTTGCTGAGCCTGGAGATTTGTCACAAGCGACCCAGCGCTTTAGAGCATGCACTTCTTTCAGAAGACTAAGGAATATGGCGTTCCTGCTTGTTCATGAATGGGAGCCTTTTTAGTTCCAGGTTAGCATTCGGGTAATTCGGGCGAAAGTATGCTGTTTGTAGTGGATTTGTATCTCTCAGCAACGCAATGGTTTTTGCTTGCCACTTGTAACTCGCCTCGTTTGCCTGAATAGGCTGGTGCGACGGCTATCCTCTCTACGGCGCGTCAAACGTTAGAGATGGTAACGCAGTACCATCCAAAGCTCTGAAGGCTTCTTTTTTTTACTTCGAGTTATTTCAATTCAATTCGTGATAATCTACTTTAAAGAGCGTGAATTTTACAACGGCCTATCCAATGAGGGTGGCCCGTTTTGTAGATCTCTACCAACGAGTTGTGGGCAATACACAGATTGGAATCAACAGCCTTTCCTGTTCATTTGAATTTATAGAACGTGTATGAGCACGCTCGTGAATATAAATCCTTTATGGCTTATCCTAGACTCATAGTAAAAAAAACAATAAATTGAAGAAACGTGCTCGAAATTCTCAACTGACTTTTCCAAGTGTGTCATGCATTTGGAACATGCTTAGGCTACAATCTTACATCCTTCTTTTCATACAAAAATTGTTAAACGTCGAGTAGAGGAAGTATGTTTAAAATATTTATACGCTTTTTCAGATTTCAAAAGCAGGATCAAACCAGAGGAAAGCAAAATCAAGATTGGTAAAGAAGGCCCAAGATCGAAGGTAAGGTCCGGGATTTTCGGTTGGAATCAGACCTTTCCCCGAGAAAAGTGCAGCTGCGCAAGCGGCAAGTACGTACACCAATTTCAAGATGATTTGACAAGGCCGGGGCGTTAAGATTCTAGGATGCTGCATTGTCTCCAGCCGACACCATTGAGCCCGCCCAAAGATCACAATGCTATTCCATTAAAGGTGCTACACAGCACATCGCCACTGGTCACCGCGCAAGAATAATACAGGGTGCGCCAAAATTACGGAGACAGCGACTTCGAGTTGCCTAGGATGAGCAAGGTGCAATTCTTTGAAAACAAAAATGCAGTGACGTGCACAGTCCCATTCTGAATCGTCGACATCCATGCAATTTTGAAATTCCTTGGTTTGTGTTTATACGGGTCCTCAGAAACATCGAGGAACCATCGACTGTGGCACGCAATGTGGCGAGTAGGACTCGTCAAGCTCATTTTAGAGCGGTTTCTTCAACGAATCCCTAGACATAATGTGTTTTATGCAAGCCTCAGCTTCTAGAACGGATCCGACAGCGTACCCTATCGAGCTCAGATCTGAAATGCTGTTCTACCACCGTTTAAGCCGACAAAGTCGAAAAAATCGGTTCTGCATCAATGCTG